GCCAAGGAAATATTTATATATGGAAGTAAACTTTCTTTGTTGGTAAGCAGGGGTGAGAGGGGAAAGGTGGAAACATTGCAAAAATAAAAACTAAAAAAATAAAGGAAAAATAATAAATAAAACAAAAAGAGATTTATCAAAAGGAGTAAAAATATAACTTATAGATTTATTAAAAAAGGAAAAACTTGTCAATGACATGTCACACAAGGGATTTGTCTATAAAATTTATAGAAAACTTCAACATCTTAACAACAAAAAGACAAACAATCCAACTTAAAAATGTGCAGAGGATATAAACAGATACGTCACCTAAGAAGATATTCAGACAGCCAACAAACACATGAAGAAATGCTCACTATCATTAGCCAATAGAATGATGCAAATCAAAACAACAAGATACATTCTTATGCCAGCAATAATACCAAAATTCAACAAGACAGAAAACAACAAATGCTACCAAGAGTGTGGAGAGATTGGAACATTCATATAGTGCTGATAAGACTGTAAAATGGTGTAAGCACTGTGTAAAACACCATGACACTTCCTTAAAAACTAAGAAATATTTAATCCAAGAATTCCACTAATGGGTATATATCTTAAAGAAATGAAAGGTAGGACATGAATAGATATATGCACACCCAAGTTCACTGCAGAACTCTTCACAATGATAAAGACATATAAAAAGTCTAAGTGCCCACCAATGGATGAATGGATGAGCTAACTACAGTACACCTACACAATGGAATAATACACATTAAAGAATAACATAGAATCAGCGAAATACTTCATAATGTGGATGGACCTGGAGCATATTGTACTGAGTGAAATAAATCATTCACCAAAGGATAAATCTTACATGAGTCCATTATTATAAATAGTCAAGGGAAGGTTTACACACACAAACAAACATTTTTTTATGGTTCCCAGGGATAAAAAGGGAGGGGATAGAAAAACCACTAACTAAATATGAGACATATTTTAATTTGGGTGAAGGGAAAGGCTATATACAAAAAGGGAGTAAAAAGCACAATATCACTAAGTAATAGGACAATATGTAGAGGTGCACAAGAGTTATAGACAATAAAGGTACATACTATTTTATACACATTTCTTTGGTATTAGTAATAACAAACATTGACCTGTGAGTGGATACATAGTGGATACATGCAAGATGATCAGGTATGGGTAGGCAAACCAGATGATATGCATGAGTGTATATACATTTGGTAGATTATATTTCTACATAAGTATTTATATGTGCTGTAAAAATATCCATGAAAGAGTAGAGGAAACAGAAAGAAAATATATGAAAATTTCTTATCTATAAATAAACACAGTGAGAGAATAAGTATCTGGGCCTGGGGGCTGAAGACCATAGTAGTTAGGGAAATCAAGGTCAATTGACATCACATAGTCCACAAAAACAGTGTTCTATGTCCTACTTAGGTGAGTAGCAACTAGAGTCTTAGAAGTTTGCCAGCAGCCATCTAAGGTGCAATTATGGTCTCTCCTCATTAGGAGAAAAGATAAGTGAAGGAAATGAAAGATACATGAGAACGATTAGTCCAAGGGATTAGTGGACCATGTAAACCTCAGCCTCCACTATTCTGAGACCAGAAGAACAAGATGGTGCTGAACAACCACTGCCAAATACTCTGAAAGTGATCACAATAGGAGCTCCTGGACAAAGTGAGAGAAAAATGTGGAACAAAACTCAAAATCATATAAATACCAGGCTTACTGGTCTGATAAAGACTGGTGGAACTCCCAAGACTGTGGCCTTTAGACATCCTTCAGATCTGGAACTGAATTCATCCCAGTGGCTCAATTTTCAGCCAAACAGTAGACAAGTCTATGGGATGAATAATAACACTAGAGAGTACATACTCCTTAGAAAATTCAACCATATTTGATTAAAAGGTCAGCATTTGCCCAAGGATGAAGCTCAAAAGGCAGGAAGAGATAGGGAAGAAGGAATAAGGGAAATGGTAAACTCATGGAGGAGGTGGTAAGAGTACTGTTACATTGTGGGGATTGCAATGAATGCCACAAAACAAAATACGTATGAGCTGTTGAATGCAAAACCAATTTGCTTTTTAAAGTTTCACTCAAACCAAAATTAAACCAAGCTCATTGTTTTAGAGTTGATTCTGACTCATACCAACCCCCTGGGTTTCCAAGGCTGTAAATATGTATGGAAGCAGACGGCTCTACTTTTCTTCCATGGAGCAGCTGGTGGGTTCAAACCACTGACCTTCTGGTTACCAGCCAAATGCCTTAACCACTGCATCACCAAAGCTCCTTAAACTTTCACTCAAGACACAATTAAAAAAAAAAAAAATCAGGTGATGTATTGCATTGGGTAAATCCATTCTAAGTGAAGATGTCACTTTGAGGACTAAGGTGTGCCTGACCTAAGCCATGATATTTTAAATATTCATGCAAAATCTGGAAAATGAATAAGAAAGAGCAAAGAAGAATTGATGTCTTTGAATTACAGTATTGGCAAAGAATATTATATACACCATGGACCATCAGAAGAATGAACAAGTCTGCCTTGGAAGATGTATAGTCAGAATGCTCCTTAGATGCAAGGATGACAAAACTTCATCTCATGTATTTGGATATGTTATCATGAGGGACTGGTCCCTGGAAAAGGATATCATGCTTTGTGAAATGGAGGATCATCAAAAAAGTGGAAGACCCTCAGTGAGATGGACTGACACAGTGGCTGCAATGATGGGCTCAAGTATAGGAAGGACTGTGAGGATGGTGCAAACTGGGCAGTGTTTCATTCTGTTTTACATAGGGTCACTTTGATTCGGAGCCAACTCAATGGCATGTAACAACAACAGCAACACAATAGGATATATTGACACAGTGGCTGCGAAAATGGGCTCAAACATAGGAATGATTGTGAGTATGGTGAGAGGACTGGCAGTGTGGCAGGACCAGGCAGTGTCCTGTTCATTTGTACTTACGGTCTCTATAAGTCAGAACTGACTCCATGGCACCCAACAACAACAGTCTTTAGGGAAGCAAATTGCCACATCTTTTTCCTTCAGAGAGGCTGGTGTGTTTGTACTGCTGACTTTTTGTTTAGCAGCCGAGTGCTTTAAGCACTGCACCATCAAGGCTCCTTAAGGTCCTTCTGAGGATTAAGATTTCTAATTTTTATAAGATTTGGGGTCAGTCCTTATTGTAACTATAGTATTGAATTTCTTTCCAGAAAAACTATCCAACAAGTATTTCAGGAGTACTTGTGACTTATGAAGGAGCTCTGGTGGCTCAGTGTCTAAGCAATTTGCTTGCTAACCAGAAAGCTGGAGGTTCAAATGCACCAGCACTCCATGAAAGAAAGACAGGGCAATCTACTTCTGTAAAGATTTACTGCCTCGGAAACCCCCTTGGGGTCACTATGAGTTGGAATTAATTTTATGGCAATGGGTTTGGTTTGGTTTTTGTGGCTTATAAAAACCAAATAGTGCAGAGTTATAGGAGAGTGATGTTGTTGTATGTCACTGAATCGATTCCAACTCACAGTGACCCTTCAGGACAAAGTATAACTGCCCCATAGAGTTACTTGGCTCTAATCCTTAAAGGAGTAGATAACCAGGTCTTTTCTCTCCTAGACCCACTACTTGGTTCAAATTACCTTTCAGTTAGCAGCCAAGTACTTAACCATTGCACCACCAAGACTCCTTATAAGAAAGGGTGCTACCTATTATTATGAAATGATTTTCTTTAACAAATTCTGGTACATTTGATTCAACATAATAGCAAAATGATCCATTGAAGCACGTTATGAAAGCAACCTCATAACTCATATATGGACCAGTTATGGATAAAACTCTTGAATTCTTTTCAATACACCAGGTGACTCTATCCTCAAGTGGACTAGGTAGGTTATGGAAAAGTTACTCTGTAGTTTTTAAATGAGTTTCACTTCTAATGTATATCAGAGTCACAAATAGACGATTACACATAAACATTAAATTTTTAATCCAGAAAATTCCCAAGACTTCAATTTATTTTATGTTGATGTTTTTCTCTGGAGTTGCAAATACTGAGATTGAAACCATTTGGGAGAATGGTGCTTCAAATATTCCGTTCAATTTGCTCCTGTGGCAATTTAGTCAAACAATCTGCTTGGAAGTAATCTATTTGCAGAACCTAGGTGGGGAAAAACCTGCCACATTATATAATTCACGGAGCAGATTTTGGCTCCCACTTTGCCAATCCATCTTGAATAGTGGCTAGCGTCCTGCATCTAGCAATACATATGATCAAGCAATATAGCACAAAAAGAGAAAGCTCCCACAATTTGGCATCCCCGTGGACATTAATCTTTGAGAAAACCAAATGGATCCAACTTTTGCCAGAGTTTAATAGCAAAGCTGTCACATTTTACACAGATGAGTATCGAGTCTGTTAGTGAATCTAAAGAGGAGTATGGGAGGAGGGAAGGGAGAGGTGGGGCTGCTGACTGGACTATTTTCCAAGTGGCTCCAGTTTACAGGGGAGGGGCTGGGATACTCCTCCTGGCAAGAGAGACGAAGCAGTTAAAAAATATTACTAGCAAGGGGCAGGATCCTCGGGATGTGGTATATAAGGCGGAGCTTCCAGCACAAAGCTGCTGTTGCTGCAAGAGCCAGGAGTAGGGCGCCTGGGCTTAGTCTCCCATTAGCCAAAGGCCTGGAGAAAAGTAAAAGGGGTTCGTGAGGTCCAAGGACGGGCTCATTATTCGCCTCTGGGACAGATACAAGAGACCCTAAGTTCCTTCTTACCCCTCTCCCCAAACGCGCACCTGGCCGCTAGTGCGTTCCAGCCTAGCACACACGCGCGCGGCACAAACACGCCTGGAGGCAGGTCGAGGCGGAAGGCGATGCGTGCAGGTGGCAGGGCAGCACGGCTTGGGGGGCAGGAGTAGAGTCCAGGGTGGAGGCAAGTAGGCTGCGAGGTCAGAGCCACTACGACGCTGGCAGAGGCCACCTTCGCTCCACCTAACACCTGCTGCTGCCGCTCCAAGATGAGACTCATGGTCTCGCTGCTGCTGGGCGCCGCGCTGCTCTGCGGCCAAGCCGCTTTCTGCCGCCGGGTCGTCAGTGGTGAGTCAGGGGCCGCCCGGCTAGCGATCAAACCCGGAGAGGGGGCCGTGGGACGCCCGCGGGAGAGGGGCGGTGTAGGACAACCTGCCCCAGGGTGTTGGTTGTCAAAGGCCATGGAAACTTGCGCGGTGTTGGTAGCCAGGAGGAGAGTATTGAGAAATTGTCTTATTTACTTCCTCGCACGCGTCCCCTCCCCACACACATAAAGTTTAACTATTTTTGAAACGCGGGGCTCAATAGGACCGCTGCAAAAGACCGTCTGCTGCATCATGAGTGGCTACAATTGCTTCCAGGAATCATTCCCACTTTCTTTGTAAGAGAGTTGGCCACTAGGTAAGGGCTTGGCACCTGCTAAAGGGGGTAGGGTAGGATGGAGACAGAGGGAACTCAGAGACAGAAGAGCAAATGCAGAAATGCCACCCTCTGTTGGCCTGGCTCGATTTAAGTCCTGCACCATGCTTAATCGGGCGATTTTTATCCCAGAGCTACTTGCTGGGGTGGGGTCTTACAGGCTCTCTGTGCACGCAGCCTTTGTTCTCTGGACTGAAAAAGAACAAGGGATTAATCGTTGAGCATAATCGCACGCCTTTCCTTTGAAGTTCTTATTCCAGATTGGAGGTCTTGTGAGTCAATGAAGTCGACCAGAGTTGGGCTGAGGTGGGCATGGTAATGACTGCAGGTTTGTGCACTGTCAAGTCAGTACAAGGAAAGTGGGTCAGAACTGGCAAGCTTCCCAGAATTCTCTGATTTATTTATTTTTTCTTTCTTTCTTTTCAACTTCTACTGTCCTATTGTTGAGCAATTTATTCTGCAATCACCCTCCCTTACTTTCTGGAAAGGTCTCTAAAAAAGATGTACATACTCAATAGCCTAGAATGAATGAAGGAGTCTTACCCTAAAGGCTGAATGAGCATAGTTACCCTTATAGGGACCTCTTGCTATACTCATTAAACCCACTGCCATCAAGTCAATTCTACTCCTAGTGACCCCTTCTTGAGTGTCTGAGACAGTATCTCTATGGAAGTAGATTGCCCACTCTTCCAAAGAGTGCCTGGTGGGTTTGAACTGCCAGCCTTCTGGTTAGCAGTCAGATGCCTTAGGCACTATGCCACCAGAGCTCCTAAGGTGTTATAATAAATATTTGTTGGCAGTATATGGACATGTGTTTTAAGGGTGAAAATTTTTTATTTTAATGTTAAAAGCATCAATTCTTGTCACATTTTGTAAATCTGTATAACAGGTGTCACAGACAACAGTAATTCAATCAGTTGTGAAGACAGACCTTTAGAATCTGGCATATTAAGCTTAATTGTTACTGATTTTCCCTGAGGCAACTTGTTACATTCTGTATCTTCAGAATATAATTCTTAAATGTCTAGTTACTAACCACTCCCCACTAACTTTTGTTTCTGGTACTCTAGAGACAGTAGGATTAAATACATTATGAATTATCATTTTGAAATGCATGCTGCTGTCATATATTGGAAGAAAATCAAGCTATTTATGTTTATAAAATTTTACAATATTGAATAGGATGTTGCAGAAGCCATGATACTAGATACTTACTCCCTTAAGGATTTTAACTTATGAAGAAAAGTTATATGGACTCTTCTGAACGTGTAAAGTACATGTCTGTCAACCTTTGTGCTTATCAGAAACATTAATGCAAATGAGTAAACAATGGAGACTACTGCCCTGAACATCAGGTGTTTTTAAACAGAAATACTTCAATTAATTAAATAATATCATCTTGGTATATTCTTGTTATATGCCTTAAACTTTGTAAGGAAGAAAAAGATTATCAAAAGTAAAGAAAGGACTTAAAAATTGTTGATAAAAAGTTTATGTTGCATTATGATATAAATCCTTCCAGTCTTTTGCTGTGTTTTAGATTAAGTATTTATAGGCATCTTGTAGTTGACATCTGGAAAACTTCTAATTAACTGAACATGATCTATTTGATTTAGCATAAATGATGATGCTTGCTTGCTATTAAAATAATTATCATGTTTTTCTTATGAATAATTTAATTGTCTTTGGCCATAACAAATTCACAATGAAATGTAACCATCTATAAATTGATTTGTGATTTTTACCCTTTGAAGATATTTTTTATACAGATATATTCAGCCATAATTGTATGAAGACAATATAGCCTAAAACCTGACATTTGAGAAACAATAATTCCTAGCAGGTCTAAAATCTGTCTGGTCCATGGTAAGTTCTGAGTGTTCCATAAATTTTTCATATCACCAGGAGACCATTTTCCAAATCCCTACTCAAGTATCTGATGACTGAAACTGGCTGTTTGGGGCCATTGTTAGGAACATACCTACAGCATGTGGAATATATTTTCTTTTTTTAAACTAAATTTAATTATTGTTATTATTTTCCTTCACTCAGATTAATGTATGTTTATCCTCTAATTAGTGGTTTACCTCCCTTCCCCATCCATGTCTGGTAATCATCAAGGGATATTTTTTTTTTTTTTTTGTAAAACCCTTTTCTTGACTTTTTACAATAGTGGTCTCATACAATATTTGTTCTTTTGTGATTGAGTAACTTCACTGTAAGTTCTTCCATATTATGAAATGTCTCCAGACTCATCTCAGAAGGAAGAATGGGCAATCTACTTCCGTATAGATACACCTTGCAAACCCAAAGAGGGGGTCTCCATGAGTCAGCTCAACTCAACGGCAGTGAATTTGTTTTTTTTTGGTTTTTTCCAGGCTCATCATTGTTTCTTAACCTTGCGTAGTATTTCATTGTGTGTGAGGAAAATATTTTCTGTTTTTAAATTTCAGCATAACAACTGTGGTAAGAGAGATGGTATATCAAAATAATCACTTGTCACAGGGGCTGAGGAGTGGGAAGACAGTCAATCATGAAATAATTCTCCATAGATAACTCTTCATTTTAGTACTTAAAAATACTCAGTAAGATACTTTATAGTACTTTTAAATAAATCATTAAGTTCAGGAACTTTATTTAAAATAAGATCAAAATGTTTTAACAAGACAATATTTAAAATTATTTCAGCTTGTAGTTTTAATATTTAGCAGTAATAAAAAAGTATTTATATTTTTATAGAGTAATGGCCATGATTATTTCTTATTCATGAATGTGCAACAAAAATAGATAACCATGGTGGCAATAATCAAAGCATCTCTACTGACTTTATTATGCTAAGCTGGGAGCTACTTTTAGAATCTTAGACCTGAACTAATTTGTTGCTGCATGCACTGTGTAGGGAATTATGAAAGCTCTATTAATTTAATTTTATGAAATGACTGATAGATTATGACATCTTCCTCAGGATAAAGGTAAGGTGATTTTATTTATGAAATATGAATAAATACAAAATTAAGAGTGAAAAATTCAGGTTTCTATGTTGAGAGGACATGCTTGAAGAGAAGCTGATATTTTTAACATTTGAAGTGCTTTGAATAATGTTATTTTTCTTTTTTTCTCCTTTTCTTTTTAGTGTGCACATCAGTGATCCCCAACCTATTTTTGTTGGAAAATGGCATTAGGTGTATTTCATGACACTTCCAAACTTCTCCAGATAATATATTATGCATTAATTTAAGCTTATTAAAATTGACATGCATTTTATTTAGGAGATTGGGGGATTAGAGGCCACTCTTGTTATCCTGCAGGTACCACAGAATATTGTAAATTCATGGCTGGTGACCAGAAGCTAATAGAATACCATAATAGCAAAGGATGTACAATAAAAACTGCTGAGCAGATTCCAGCCTATGATAGTATTCCATGACATCATCAAAAGCATAAAGTGATGACAGTGCAGTTTTCAAAGATACAATTACTCTAAGTATCTCTTGGGCAAGAAAGGAACAAATTAATCTTATTACTAGTCATTAAATAAACTACACATTTATCAAAGCCATCTTCCTTAACTGCTGCTTGCCATCATTTTATGGGTGTATTTTTTTTTAATCTTGTTTTCCTGAGGATGAAAATATCTATTTCATCATATGTATATATGTATAAAAGAGACAGTATTATATTATACTGTATGGTATATTTTATATATATTATCATTGTTTTATGTTACACAGTACAGCAGTTTGTGGTGGAGCACTTAACCACTGTACTATCAGGGCTACTTATAAAAGAGGCAGCATTATATAGCAGGGTCCAAACTGAACCCAGCCTGATGCTGTCACTAATAATTATTTTTATTTACAGTGGTTTTCTGTGCTAGGCATTTTGCATATAGGTATATGGATCTGCATAATTTCCATGCAAGAATATTCTTTGATTTTTTTTCCTTATTCTTTTTTTTTTTTTTTTTTTCCTCTAAGGATTTTCTGGTGTTCTTAGGCCTGCAAATGTGACTGAAATTATAGTATTTGTAACTGGGAAAAATTCAATTTAAGCCTGTTTACTTTATTTGGAAAACAAAAGGGCTACATAAAAAAAAAAATCCATAAAGACATATATGGTCTGAAGATATACAAGGTGATCCAATATTACCTCTGTATCTAAGTATTCTCTAACAGAAACTCCAACAGCTTTTTAGTCACAAGGTCACAATGAGTAAACTCCTTACACATCTCAGCTATTAAGTAATCAATAACTGCTGGATGTTAATAATTTCAACATAGATAACACGCAGGGAGTCCCTGGGTGGCAAAAATGGTTATATGCTTGACTACTAAGTGAAAGATTGTTCATTTGAATCCACCCAGAGGCACCTCAGAAGAAAGGCCTGGCAATCTGGAAAGATCATTGTTCTTGGAAACCCTAAGAAGCACAATTCTACTACGGAACACACGAGGTTGCCTTCAGTCAGAATCCATTTGACAACAACTCATCTGGTGTGCTTTTCTGTTTTGTTTTTGGTAGATATAGTGTGTAGCTCACAGTCCTTTTCTTCATGAAATCTTTCTCCTTAGAACAATGTATTTGAGGCATATATGGAGGTGGCATTGAATCGTGGTCAAAAGCACGGACTATAGAGTCAAACTGCTTTG